CTCCAACACTCAACTTAAAACACGACACAAGTTTCGTGTGAATGTTTTGAAAAAACATAATACACTGCTCGGTTTTTGTTGTGAAATTTACTCGAGAATCTCGTACGTTGTAACCGACAATTTTACACGATTGAATGTTGGAGGAAGAAGCTAAAAGTTGTGATTTTGCAAAACATCTAATTTCGAGGGTCGGGTTCATCCTCGATTTTGTCATTCCGACGTTAAAATAATAAATAATAAAAATGTGATTTTTTTTTTTCGTAATATTGATAATCACTTACCGAGAACGACGCCTCGACTTTCGGGAAAATTCTTGACACAAGTAACGAGCGAACCGGTATTAACGAAGGATTGAGAATTAGCTCCAACACAAATATAGAGACACATTTGCCAAACTTTCGGCGTCGAGATCCGCTTAGTAACGGCGAGCCAAATCATGAAGTAACCAAAGAAATTCAAGACGGCGCCGATAGATAGAACCACCCACGGCGGTGTAACTTCATTGATAAGGCCAGACAAAACACCGACGTTCGCACCCAAATCCTTGAAAAAGCTCAACAAATTCAACGTCGTTTGGTCGTAACCTAGAACCGACTTTATGTCGTTGGAATATAAGCTGAACATGTAGGTGGCGCCGGCGGCTGCCATGATTAGAAGTGAAGCGAACACCACAAACCACCGCCCGGTGATGATGTGGACGGCGATGGTTCTGATGTTGGAGCTGCCGGAGATTGCTCTGTCGCCTCCCTGACCGGCGGCGACCATTTTTAGAGGTGGAAAATTAAAGAGGGTGGAGATTATTTTGGAGGTATGGTACTTGCGTGGCTGTTAATTGAAGGAGATGTGTGTGGGGGAAATATATAGCGTTTTTGTTGAGACTCTATAGTTGACTTTTAAGAGTCCAAATGGAAATTAATTAATAATTGTCATTTTATCCTATGCTCTAGAGTCGGGTCATTTAACTCACAGACACGTAGCCTCGAGAAGACCTGTCCCGAACCCAAATGAGGAATTTCTATTTAAAAGAGAAATAAAGTGTGATATCTCACATCGGTTGAGGAAGAGAACGAATCATTCTTTATAAGAGTGTGAAAATCTCCCATAGCAGATAGGTTTTAAAAATCTTGAAATGAAACCCGAGAGTAAAAATTCAAAGAGAACAATACATATTAATGGTGGGTTTGAGCTGTTATTTCCATCTTGTCGACATCTTTATTTTGTACTGAATGCTTGTAGGGTATAAATCCGAAATTTTGTGTTGGTGATTCAAACGACTCGAATAGGGTTCACAACCCAAACCTCTTGCTTTTGGGTTGGGTTGTTCAAGTAATTCAAAATTTTTAATTATTTAAAAAAATCATAATTATTCATAATATATGTCACGTTAATAATTAAAATTATATGAAACATTCATATATTACAACGTATCACTAACATTACAAACTTAAAATATTCTTAATTTTCGCAACAATTTTAAAATTAGAGTTGAGTTGGATTGTGAACTCTATTTTCAGGTCCATTTAAAAAAAAAAAAAAAAAAAAAAAAAC